TTACTTATGTGAACTTTGATTTTATTTTTCCTTCAGCGACCCTTAATAGAATAAAAGTTCCCCAATCTTGGTTTATTCCTTGATAAGTGGACTGATTGTACTGATGAATAAGCTACAGAAACTAAATTTTAAAATGTCATTTCCTATCATGAACACCTGTTGATTCTGACTGTCTATCATCTCCATTTCCTTTGAGAATAATCTGATTCTGGTGAAGATGACAATCACAGAAAATCTCACTCTGCGACACATCACACACACACACACACACACGTGCATAAAGACACGCAGCGTTACAGGGGAGATGCCGTGGGGTCCTGGACCAGCAAATCACTTAACCATGGTGACTGCTTCAGGGTAAGTACGTGATCCATGCCAGGACTATCCAAGTTCTTCCCTCCTAAACAATGAAAGCCCATCTGCCATAGGAGAGAAACAGACCGAGAGAGAGGCAGCTCACTTCCTAGGTTCACCACACAGAAACACAGAAGGTACAGCCCACCAAGATGAAACGACTTTGCAGTCGACAGATGGAACAAATCCTGCTTAACTTCCACAAATTCACAAAACTTCACACCTTAAAAATCACCTTGTTCAATACTGCCGTTTTACATATGGTGAAACTAAGCCCCAGAGAATAATAACTATCTGCACAAGGTATTTCACTAGTATTTACATTCCAGGTTATCTGATTGCCAGGGAAATTCATAAAAACTAGATTAAAGGGAGCTATCACTTTTTGCTTGTGTTAGCCAAAAATCACCTGTTGAGTAATTTCAGACAGACAAATGAAGAATTTCTGAAAAAATATAATTATCAGCCATCTTGATATGTGTAGTAAAATTATCCAGTATTACATCAGAAAATTATCTTAAATAAATTCAAATTATTCTCCTTTGCTGGCCATTTTATCCTCACTATCTAGATAACTACTAGGCCCCTCAGAATACGAGTCCACTATCAAACAACTTGAGCAAGGAAAGAGGTCGTCCGAGGGTAAACTGAACATAGCTAACAAATCTGGAGAACCGTCTTATAATTCAGTTATAGTGCAAGCACTAGGCCATCACTTCTCAGACTGTATTTCATGGAACACTAGGGAACCACAAGATGTTCTATGAATAAAAGATACTAAAGTCAAATGAGTTTGGGAAAAGCCACATAAAATAAATGAATGTATAAACCAATATAAATAATAAATACATATGCACGTATATTATATATCCTCCCTCTTAGAGATTCATAGTATACAGTAAAGGTTAAGAAGTCCTGCAGTGAAGAAAATGTTCAACTTTAAGTCAGCATTTCCAAAACTTCCAACATAACATACTTTTTCACCAAATAACTTATTAAGAAAAGCCAGTACTGTGAAATAGATTTTGGGGAACACTACTCTAATCTAAACATCCTCTGGTCCTATTCTACCAAGTAAACAACACGCCCAGATTTATATTTCCTGTGAGCACACAGGCACAGCACATCACAATTTCCAGTTCCACTTTGCTTATTTGATCCAGGCCACAGAACAGTGCCTATCACAAGGTAGACTCAATATTTGTTGAGTGAATAAATAAAAATAATCTCCACAATAACCATGTGAGAAGACCAAATTTAATTTTTATCTCTATTTACAGATGAGAATGCTGAGGCTCAGAAATGTTAACTGACTTCTCCAACGTCACAGAGCCACAAACTATGGAACCAGGACTTGACTACAAGTCTGGCTTCAAAACCTCACATTAGGCTGATGGACTATTATGTCTTCTGAACAGATTTTTAAAGGACATCTTAAGCTATTCTCGACAGTAAACATCAAAATAAAGTGCTGGTAGAAGTCTTAAAGTACAATCAGTTCCTGGCTATTGAGGTAATGGTTATAAACGTTATTGAAGAAAAAGATACTTAAACAACCATTAGATGGGTTTAAATATGAAAAAACTCAAAACGGACAAAATTTTAAAAGTCTAGTACATTTCAAGTAATTTGCCATAACTGCTAGCAAGTAAGAGCAAGAGATCGTAACAGAAGAAAGTGATGAGAAGAAAACCCTCAATTTCAATCCGTCAAAGCAGACATTTAGTATACTGAAAATTATATACCATAAAGATGGTATATATGGAATATATGATAACTTGTCATGGTATGAAAAACACTTTTTTGTACTTTAATGCATAAAAATGAATTTAGTTTGCCACTGAACTCAGTTATCAACATAAACTTAACTTTGGTAGATTACTACCCCACTAACAGAAAGCAGTAAACATTACCACTGTTGAAAATAATTCATATTTTATAAGTAATGAGTACTTCTGATCATCTACATTTTCAGACTGCTCTACTGTGCAACAAATGCCATCCTACTTTTCAACATCTGCCACAGAAAAAATTTACTTTATTTACATTTTGCTTAGATTCTAATTTTGAAAAAAACATATTAAATCACATATTCTTTGTGTTGTTTAAAAATAATTTTAGAAAGTAACACTCTTTTGCTAAGGTACTAAAAACTCTGTAGAAATTTATTTATGCCACTTCTAAAAGTCTGCTCTCAAGGACCTAGGTTAATTTTAGTATAAAAAAGGAACAAGATTAAATAGGAAATAACCATTTGCAACCACCACAGTAATAATTAATCCAGCCAAGAAACATCAACAGATGCTAAAACCAGAGGGTAAAAGTCTGATAGGGAACAGTTTCTTTACAGAGGCTCAAAGTACTTCCTTCGGATTAAAATACTTGTTGATTACAAATACAAATCAAAAATACTTATTAATTTCAAAGGGAAAAAGAATAACATTATAACAGATCTAGCAGAGAGAAGCTTAATCAAGGGATGAAGGTCTGAGACATCATCAATAGAGGACAAGTCAAACACAGGCTCCACCTGAGAGGATGCAGAGAGAACACATCAATTCTTTGGGGATATTCCTGCTGAAAGTGTGCAACCTGAATCTAATCATAAAAAAAAATCAGACAAATTCAAATTGAGGCACATTCTATAAAATAACTGACCTATAATCTTCAAAATTTGTCAGTTATGAAAGTAAAGAAAAGGCTCAAGAACTATTCCAGTTTGGAAGAGACTGAAGAAACATGACAATTGAATCTCATCTACATAGAGACCCTTGCGATAAAAGGCAAAACTTGGTGACAGAGCAGAATGCCCTTATTAATAAGACATAGATGCTGGAATCTTTTGGGGTAACTGGACAGTATGCCAACAACTTTCTCTCAAATGGTTCAAAAGAAAAAAAACTCTGTACTATTTTTACAAAAACAGATAATTTAGGTAAACTTAAAACTGCAAAACCAAAATTAACATATTTCTACTATCTTCAATACTAGTTTCATTTTCTTCTGGATTTGAAATGAAAGGTTTTTCATCATCTACTTTTTTAGTTTTCTGGATTCCTAAGTTCCAGTGGGGTGGGGGGATGCTAAAATTTATGAAAATTCTCAGGAGTACCACCAAGATTAGGGATCTAGGCACTAAGAGAAGAACAAATGAAAATACATTAAGAAAAACTGGAACCTACTATCATAAAGGCTATCCTCTGGATGCACGCATAAATAGACCTGTAGCAGATTTAAAATAAGTGCTTTTCCAGAAAATGATTGCTACGACAAACCAATGGTGAAGTATACCACAACATGCCGCTTCAAGAATTGTTATTTTTACCAGAAAACCAACAAGTCTAAAAACCCATACTGCCACAGATAAAGTAGTTTTTAACTTTACTGTTTCTTTAATTTCTACACTGCAATAATTTAGAATGTACTGACTTTTTCTTAAAAAGTGGGCATTCATATTTTAAAGCAAACAATGAAATATGCACAATAGCTATAAGGATACTCTTTAATAAACTACCAATTTAAAGAACAGTTCCGTTAATTTCCCTAAATTTGCTGGTTAACAATCTCTTAGGGTAGAGCTGGAGAATGCAGATTAATTAAAAAAACGTGAATTCCTAGGCTTCATCCAAAACTCAAAGAAGTCCTTTATAATCTGTTCATAAACATCCTAATAAAACCTTCTTTGTAGGTTTTGTAAATACCACTTGTGCAGAAGAGAGTTAACATAGCAGACGTGAGACTGCTCTCCCTAGAAAGGTCGGCCTGCAAGGTTAGCTCTTGGTTGGCATCTGGTAACTTGGCTTTCGAGACGGCTTCCCCATTCCCAGACTGATTGGCACACTGTGCCTAAGCTGTTTGTACAAACAATACGGTTTGTGACGAATCCCTGCTTTCCTTCTGGGTGCCTGAAATTTTGGTACATGCTAAGGCAGAGAGAGCCTACAGACTGCCCGCAATAAAAACTCTGGGCCCCTGGGCTCAGGTGCGCGTCCCTGGTAGACACATGTCACACAGGTGGTAATAACTATTGCTGGAGGAATTAAGCACGTACTGGGAGACTCCACTGGGAGCGGACTCTCGGCAGCTTGCGCCTGGCTTCCTCCAGACCCACCCCATGTGCCTTTCCCCTTTGCTGATTTTGCTTTGCATCCTTTTGCTGAGTCCTGTGAGTTTTCCTAGTGAATCATCAAACTAGGGGTGATCTCGGGGAGCCTCAACACAATATTTTAAGGCATAAAATTACTTTCTATAGAGTTCTGAGTGTTTCAGTACACTGTCATATATACATTAGCAACTTGCAATTGATAACTTTAAGATGACAAAAGCTTAAAGTCAGTCCTATATCACTCACAAAATTATTTACTTTTTCAACCACTGGAGAAACGATATTCAGAAGATAACATAACATTCATTTTCTCAAAATTCAAATTTGCAATTTCAACCCCAAACATAATTTGAGTTAATTTGAGATTTTATTAACTGGTTGTTACATATTATTTCTATATGTGTAAATATTTTTAATTCCTTCAAAATGAAAGAAAACTCATCCTTATCCTCAAAAACAAGCAAACAAATCCAAATGCAAACTCATAACAGTTTACTGTCCATCACAATTTAGATTGTATTTAAAAGGGATACATTCTTACCATGTGGAGTGATTGTCTGTACAGGCTTAGCAGGAGACCTCACGTTCCATATAGTCAATGTACCGTCTGAATGACTGCAAATAAATTGTTTTCCTTCATGGTGCCAAGCAACAGAGTGGATAGCCTATAGAAGACAGGTGAAGAATTCCATTTTTAAAAACAAAACTCTATTTAAACACCAAGCTATTCATAATTGGTATTGTAATTAATTTTCATTTTAAACTTTTTCATATTTCCCAAGCTGAAGTCAATACGTTAACTTTACATTCCCATAATTTAGCCCTCTTGCAATACAAATGAGATTTAATTTGGTATTGACACTATTTTAATTCTTTTCACTTTATTTACTCCTTAAGCCAGCATAAGGACGATACAATAGTGATATGTGTATTATTGACAAGTTCAGGAAAACAAAATGTATTCTTATAGTTTCTTACAATAAACCATTCCTAAATATAAATTACTAAGTATTTACAACCAGTATCCCATCAAAAAAAAAAATTTTCATTGACAGATTAGAACACATTTTAAAAATTAAATAGAATTCTAAGGTAAAAATGTAGATTTAAGATCAATTAAATTAAGAATTAAGATCAATTAAAAATATCTCAGACTGAGCTTCAAGACGTTATCCATTTCTCACAGTAATTATTCAGGTGGTTTTTAAAATCTGAAGGTACTCTTTCGACTAGAAATTTATTTTATACCTCTGAGCCACTCAAAAACTATCTGAAAATATTTTTATATGACCAAAGTATGTTTCCCTTCAATTTTTTGTTCTAATATTTTTTTGTCTGTAAAAATTTTTTTTAGAAAATCACTCTCCTAGGTCCTCTTTAAATTACTTATTTTCAACTCAAGTTGATACGCTTCTAGTTCCTAATGGTCAACTGCCTTTACAAGCTGCCCCACTGGAATGCTGGAACCACAGAGTGCAGCACAAGAACCAGGCAACTGAAACTTAGGAGTTCCACTTATGGACAAAGTCAACATTTACTATCATCTCGTTCAATGGCCATTTATTTGGGTTCCTCATATGCTTATAAGTTTAAGTTAAATAAAACAATTCAATATTATGGATCATATTTTAAAATTTAAATCACAATGGATAAAGACAATCAGCTCTATTTCTCAATGCCAATACTTAACACAACGTTTTAGGTTCAAAGTATCTGTAACAAAATTCTAAATAAAATCTTAAAACAGTAATAAACTTATTCCAAAATACACATATGACATTCTACAAACTCAATCTTAAAATAAGCAATCCTTTAGTAGCCTTAACAGAGGAAATTATTTTTGAAAAATATGAGTAGTGCTAAGAAGCTATAAACAAAGCTATTTAAATATATTTTTAAGAGATAAAGGAAATATAAGAAAAATCTACAGTGTTGTCTGGAACCTATAAATAAAAACATTCTAATCTTATCTCATATATATAAATGTATACCATATACATAAATATATATTATATATAAATAGAGAACTAATATTTCTACTTTGCTAAAGAAAACAATATACATCTTTGTTTAAAAGTTTAACATTATTTTTAAGATAATATTAAATTAAGCCTTCTAAAAATAAATACTAATTAATTATAGGGACGAGTGGTTCATTATTATTCTGAATAACAGAGCAAGATAAATAAAAGGAAAACTCCACAAAAGAAATAACCAAATACAAACTTTTACACTGCAATCAACATGCACAATTGTTTCTATTCTGCTATTTTCTAAATACAAATCCAACTTGATACGAGAGCTCATTTTTTTTCTAATAGTCTCTAATACCATTACTACATATATGAACTAGAAATTTATGTAAACAAAGTGGGAACAGCAAATCTCACTAACCCAATCTGTCAATGCTTAGACTCAGAAGGTGGGTTAGGAGCACACCCAAACACTTTATGGGAGAAGATATGAGATATCAAGGAGGAAGCATAAACTGGGGTTGAGGAGTTTTGTGTGTAAGTTGACTTGTTTATTTTTCCAAGATACAAAATTTCCAGGAGATTCTTATTAGGTTACTTGATTTTTTAAAAATGGAAAACTATAGATACAGATGAATAAGAGAAATAGACAGGAAGAGAGATCAAAGGCAGAATGAATGGAGAACAGAAGAACATAATAAACGAGAAATATACAAAAGTTGTGGAGGAACAAGACGAATTCACAGCAGAGAAAAAATGTGGAGAGAGAAGGAAGGGAGATGATACCACTTTGGCATCAGCCACAAAGCAGCAGGATACACAATTCTAAAAGTTCTTTTTAAAGATGCAGTTGTCTGACAAGAAATCATAACTATTATAAAGCTCATAAGGCTAGAGTCTGACAGTAGTATTTTCATCTTTGATAAAATTTTTAAAAAAGCAAAAATACCATCTACTTGAATACATTTTTTAAAAAAGAGTAATATCTAATTATTAGGCTTTGGCAAAAGTAGTACATACGATGCTTTGTGCTTTCTTATCAAATAAGAGGGCATCTTGAAGAATAATTTTCTGGAAAGAGAACAGGCTATTTACCTACCAAATTTTCCACTCACTGACTCAAAATAGTGGGAAAATTTAATAAACTCCCTACCTACTGATTTTGCAAACAAATCAGTATCATTAGAATCACTTAGTAAATGTTGCGTATAAACCTTAGCCCAGCTGCTCTTCTATTATACACATACTGACTAACGTTTTTAGCAGACTTACACTAAAAGTAGATTTTCTCCTAGAAAATAAGACTTATATTCAAAAGCAACATTGATTCCCAGTATAATTATATACTGTCGCTAAAACTCTTAGAAAAATGTCAACAAAATGATAAAGAAAAAAATTAATTTTATAATATAAACTGATTTTAAATTATAATGTTTGCAAACATGTGCAAAGTAAATACTGAAAATACTCTAGTTTTATTATTCTCACATAATCGAATAACAAAGTGAATGCTTATAGCACTGAATGAGTTATTTCTTGTACATATAAATAATACACTAAATTGCACAGCTTTGGCCCTAGTATTTTAACTTGTGAACATTTCAATATTATCCCTACTATAGGAGGGAGACAACAGTGATACTGTGTAATTGAACAAGATAATTAGTGAATAATACATTTTGTAAGATAGTTGATAAAATTATTACATATTGGACATTAAATGACTTATAGCTTCTCTCTCCAGTTACAGATTTTAATAGGCAAAAATTGAAAACACTGTCATTTCCATTAACAGTAAAACCCAAGTGGAATTTTCTTAGATATTTTTAAAACATGACCAAATTATTCATTCTTTTAAGTATTATTTTATCTTTGGAGTGTGTATGTGATAAATACGCAGAAAATAAGCTGTCTTAAAAACACCCATCTAAACACTGAATAAAGGGAACTTAAAGGAATAAATATTTCAATTAATATCTGTAGTGAGAAAAATAATTTCTTTAAAGGTTTTGATTTCAATGCTGTAAGTTACAAACATCTTATTTCAACATTCTTTTAAAAAATACTTCTGACAGTCTTGAGATACAAATGTACTCAGAGCCAGCAATGCACAAACTATTATTTCTTTGCACTTAATTACCTATATTTCTATCAGCTGCTTCTCAGTCTACTAGGAAAAAACAACATGAAACCAAAATGCAAAAGTCACTCATAAATGACTCTCAAGATATGACAAAGAACAGCTATTAAAATAAAGAGGTTCATAAGTACTAAATAATTGTCTTATAACATCAATTATGCTATATTTCATTTCTGCCAACACTTTGGTTACTATAAAAAGAACAGTGATATTTTAATACTGGTTATAGCCTAAAAAGAACAGAATGTCCATTGCAGAAATACAATTTTACATAGACTGAAATATCATATGCAGAAAATAATCCGTAGAAAATTAGGAATACTACCCAAGGACACACAAAATCTATTTAGACATAACCAGGTGAGAAAAGAATTTGTCAACTAGAGAAGTACTAACTATGGTTACAAAGCAACAAAAGCTTAAGGGCAAAGATGAATTTCTGTTCCCATTACTCACCCATCCAAACCACCACAAGAGACCAAATGAACAATGAAAGTTGTGCCAAGTAGCACTTTTCTTATACTAGAAATGTTCTGAATTGATATCAAAATGCCATAAAATACGCCTGTGCTAGTATAATGAAACTGAGTGGACTAACATACCACTGAATAGAACGTAAATACTGGGGTGGGGGGAAGATAGGGGTAGTATTTTGTCGAGGCCTTAAATTTTTAACCTTCACTAGTGAGAATTATACCTATAATAATTTCTTGACTGTCTAAAATTGTACACTTGGTAGAAAACCTGCATTAAGAATTAAATATAAAACATTTTTACATGAACAAAGAACCTGATAAAACAGCATGAACTCATGGAAATAGAAATTTTCATTTGGTTTACTTTAGGACAAGTCAATTCAGAAGTTAAATCTTACATCTACAGCACTATTATTTAAACATAAGATTTAGTCATTATGTATATTAATATTTAGAAAGAATAAGTGTCATGACTTTGTATCTCTGTTGCTTCTCTGTTCATTAGTCTCAAGTTTTCTTATAATTTCTTTCTCTGGTTTTGGTATGAAGATACTGCTGGCCTCATAGGATGAGTTGGGAAGTGTGCCCTCCTCTTGTTTTTTGGAAAGAGTTTGGGTACAGTGAGTATTATGTGGTAAAATTCACCGATAAGCCCTCTGAGCCTGGAATTTTCCCTGTGGGAAACATTTCATTAAAAATTCAATTTCTTTAATAAATATAGAGCTACTCAGGTTAACTATTTCTTCCAGAGTGAGCTTTAGTACTTTCAAGGAATTTGGTGTCTTTCAAGGAATTTGTCCATTTCATCTAAGTTGTTGAATTTATTGGCATTAAACTATATCTATTTCCTTATCAGTTTCCTTGTATTTCTGTAGAAAGTGACACCCTCTTTCTCATGCCTGGCAGGGTAATTTATGTCTTTTCTATTTTATCTCATCACTCTGGCTATGTGTTTATTAATTGTATTGATCTTCGCAAAATGAAGCTTTTAATTTTATCAATTTTTTCTATTGGTTTCCTGTTATCTATTTCATTGATTTCTGCTCTTTATAATTTCAATTCTTTCGCTTACTCCAGATTTAATTTGCTGTCCTTTCTTGTGGCGGAAGCTGAAGCCACTGATTTGTGACTTTTCTTGTTTTCTAATATAACCATTTAATGCTATAGTGATAGTGAATGCTTTAGCAGCATTTCACAGACTTCAATATTTCATTTTTTATATTTTTATCAGTTCAAAATACTTTCTCAATTCCCTTGTATTTCTTCTTTGATCCATGGGTCATTTAAAAGTATGTTGTTTCACTTTCAAATATTTGTAGATTTTTCATCTTTTATTATTGATTTCTAATTTAATTCTATTATAATAAAAAACATATTTTTATGATTTCAATTTTTTAGAATTTATTGAGGTTGACTTTATGGCACAAAACATGGTCTGTCTTGGTGAAGGTTCCATGTGTACTTAAAAAGAACATGTATTCTCTTGTTGAGTGGAATGCTTTGATATCTACTTTGCTGATATTAATAAAGGCATTTCAGCTGTCTTTTAATTAATGCTAACATGACTTTTTCCACCTGTTTTCCTTCCTAACACATCTGTGTCTTTATATTTAAAGTGGGTTTCTTATAAACAGCATATAGTTGGATCTTGCTTTTTAATCGAATTTAACAATCTCTGCCTTTTAAGTGGGGGCATTTAAACTATTTACATTTAATATCTCTTAAAGAGAATTAAAAAATAGAAAGACTTTTATATTTACCTACATATCTACCATTTCTGGTGTCCTTCAAATCTCCATCTCCTCTCATTTGCCTTCTGTATGAAGGACTTCTTTTAACATGTCTTGTAGTGATGGTCTGCAGGTAACAAAGTCTTTGAGTTTTCTATGTGTGTAAAGTGTTTGTTTAGCCTTTGTTTTTAAAAAGATATTTTTGCTGGATATAAAATTCTAAGTTGCCAGTTTTTTCTTTCAGTACTGTAAAGGTGTTGTTCTATTGTGTTCTGGCTTGCATCGTTTCTAAGGAAACCATTTGCTGTCATTTTTATTCTTGCTCCTCTGTATTTAAAGTGGTTGCTTTTCAGATTTTCTCAGGCGGCCGGCCTGGTGGCCCGGTGGCATAGCGATTGAGTTCACGCATTCCGCTTTGACGGCCTGGGGTTCGCCAGTTCAGATCCTGGGCGCAGACCTGTTCACTGCTCATCAAGCCATGCTGAGGCGGCATCCCACACAGACAAACTAGAAGGAACTACAACTAGGATATACAACTACGTATTGGGACTTTGGGGATGAAAACGAAAAACAAAAGAAGATTGGCAACAGATGATAGCTCAGGGCCAATCTTCCTCAAAAAAAAAAAATTTTCTCTATCACTAGTTCTGGTTTTAAGCAATTGAAATATGACGTGCTTTTGTGTACTTTTATGTTTCTTCTGCTTTGAGTTCATCGAACTTCTAGAATATCTATATACCTTAGATATCCTACAGTTTATAGGGTTATAATTTTCATTTAATGTGGAAAACTTTGGGTCATTATTTCTTCAAATACATTTGCTGTCTACGCTCCCCCTCCTGAGACTCTTATTACACATACAGTCATGTGTTGCATGATGATGTTTTGGTCAACGACGGACTACATATACGGCAGTGGCCCCATAAGATTAGTACCATAGAGCCTAGGTGTGTAGTAGGCTGTACCATCTAGGTTTGTGTAAGTGCACTCTGTGATGTCGGCACAATGATGAAATCATCTAACGATGCTTTCTCAGCATGTTAGGTGACATTTTACTGTACATTAGTCAGCTTGAAGTTGTACCACGGTTCACTGGTGTTCTGCTCATTGTTTGCCCCTGGCTTTCATATTGAGTAGTTCTACTGCCATGTCTTCAAGTTCACTAATCTTTTCTTCTGCAATATCCGATCTTCGGGTAAACCCACCTAGAATATTTTTCACCTCAGACATTTTTCATCTCTAGAAATTCTGCTTGTTTTTTTTTTTTTTAAGTCTTCCATGCCTTTTCCTCAACATGCTCATGCTTAAATTTATCTTCTAGAGCACATGGAGTCTATTTAACAATATTTGTTTTAATATCCTTGTCTACTAATTCTATCATCTGTGTCAGTTCTGAGTCTTTTTCTATTGACTGCATTTCCTCCTTATTTTGCATCATATTTTCTGGCTTCTTTGCATGCCTCATAAATTTTTATTTGGATGCTAGTCATTGTGAAATTTATGGTGGGTTATTATTATATTCTTTTAAAGATTTCTGAGCCTTTTTCCTGGGATGTAATTATATTATTTGAAAACAGTCTGGACTTTCCAAGGCTTGTTTTAAGCTTTGTTAGGTTAGCTAGTCCAGTCTTTAGAGTAGGGCCCGTTTGGCCCCAATACTGAGGCAATACCTTTCTGAGTACTCTTCCTGATGCCCTGTGCATTACAGGGTTTCTCTTCTCTGTTGGAAATGTGAACTATTCTCTGCGCTGTGTGTGCTATGAGAATTGCTCTACCTACTCCTTTCCAGTGGGTCTTTCCCAAGCCTCACACCCATGCACTAATCAGTATTCAACTGAAGACCCAAGGCAGGGGGCTCCCTGCAGACTTTTACAACTCTCTTTCTAGGCAGTTCTCCACTCTCTGGTACCTTACCTTATAAGCTACAGATATCCTGGCTTCCACAATTTCCCAACTTTGTCTCCTCAACTCAGGGAGACTGTTGGGCTTCCAATTAGGTTCCCCCTTCATGTACTAAGACCTGGAAAACCTCTGCAGGCAGCAAGCTAAGGCAATTGAAGGGCTCACCTTGTTTGTGTCCCCTCTCTAAGGAATCTCTGGTTCCTCACTACCCATTGTCTAATTTCTTAAAACCGTTGTTTCATGTGTTTTTTCCATGTATTTGTTTAAGGAGAGAGAGTAAATGCAGTCCCTGTGACTCCATAACAGCTAAAATCAGTATCACTATTTAAATTTATAGAAAGCAAAGAAAAAAAGTCAATTTTATTTATTTTTTTGCTGAGTAAGATTGGCCCTGAGCTAACATCTGTGCCAATCTTCCTCTATGTTGTATGTGGGTCACCGCTACAGCATGCCCACTGATGAGTAGTGTAGGTCCATGCCCAGGATCTAACCCCAGCTGCTGAAGCGGAGCACGCCAAACTTAACCAGCAGGCAGGGGGGCCAGCCCAAAAGTGAATTTTTTTAATCTGCTTTCATTTTAATATACAAAGTAGATCTAGAGGCCAAAACTTCCAGAGAAATGACAGATTTTTATATTTTATTTAAAATATTAAAAATATTCTTTTTTTTTATAATTTCAGGATCTTGATTAGTGAGCCACACAATGCTTACTAACTAAAAAGCTTTTAAAATAAAAAGTAGGCAGCCATGAAAACAAAGGAAATCCCCTTTGAGTCACGCTTACAAAGATAACATGCAGACATTTACAAAGTATTCCAAGTATTGCTATAGCTATTCAATGTAGTCTGCTGTCTGAGTAACTGAAAACATCAACAGGAAGACATGATATATTTTATCTTAAAAACAAGCAAAACCACTTACACTTCTCCTAGCTCAGTTCACTGAACTGGAAATCATGAACACTCCTAATACCCATATTATAGTTTAGTAGTATTTCACACTCAATGAAGCCACAGTTTTATGAAAAAGATCTTATTCTAAGTTTGGGACAGAAATATACAAGATTAACAGTTATACTTTGTTATAACAGATAGCAAGGAAGCTACCCAAGACTACCACCACCAAGGACTCAGCAACCAACCAGAGGAGGCTCATCGACCATAGAGAGGACAACGTGAAAATCAGTAAGGATGGAACTTCAATGTACTGAAGCACACCAAAACAGTTTACATCTTTCAGTACATAGAGAAACTAAAAACAAGAACAAACTGATCACCGTTGAGATTACTAGAGAACAACCCCTTTAGAGTAAATATTGAATAAAAGGAAAGAACCAAGCATTTATCCTGCCTTTTCTAAATGAACTGCACTACTGTATAACCAAATAATAGATGAGAGGAAGTTTCTCTTTACTCAAGTGTCCTGGCTAATAGAGAAAGTATCATGGAATTAGAACATCCCCATTTTGCAACTGCTATGCACTAAAGGACCCAGGCCTTGAACATCACTGGCTGCTAACATCAAAACAGACATTGACATTCCAGCTAATACAAGAACACCACCATCATCTATGAGGTAGTCTCGCTGAAAACGAAAAATGAACCTGAATTGGATCAAGCCTCACTAAACTATCCAATCTATAGGAAATATGAGGGTAAAAAGAGATGCTAAATACAAGGGGGATACAGCCAGAAAAAGCCAGTCTTTGGGAGACTATCTTCAATAAACAAATGGCAAAAAAGAAGGACTGAGGTAAAGAAGGGCAGCAAAGAATAAGAAGAGAGGCCTACAGTTTAAAAGAGACTTAAGGGCCGGCCCCGTGGCTTAGCGGTTAAGTGCACGCGCTCTGCTGCTGGCGGCACGGGTTCGGATCCCGGGCGCGCACCGACGCACCACTTCTCCAGCCATGCTGAGGCCATGTCCCACATACAGCAACTAGAAGGATGTGCAGTTATGACATACAACTGTCTACTGGGGCTTTGGGGGGAAAATAAATAAATAAATAAAATTATAAAAAAATAAAAATAAAAGAGACTTAAAAGACTTATCAAAACCAATCACAATCAATCTTTATTTGCATCTTAAAGCAAGGAAACTATAAACGTTTACAGTATATCATCATTTGTACAAATTAAAAAATAGAATACATTTATGAATTTGCTTGTAAATGCACAGAATGCCTCTGGAAGAACACAGGAGGAACTGGTTCACACTGGTACCTGGGGTAAGGGAGCTGGACGGCCAAGTGACAGGGGCGGAAGAAGATTTTTCTATCTTTTGAGCTATGTGATTATCTATTATACATGTATTTAAAAATTTTGCGTTATTGCCATTACAAAGGTTGCCTAAACTAAAATCACCAATTAAGTTCTTGGAGGAGCTGCTCTGAACCGGAGAAATGACGAGAGCTTTTGATTAGCAAAAATAACGTTATTACCTCATCGTACGTGTATCTGTAGTCGGCTTTCTTTGACTTGAGGTCCCACAGCACTACTGTTCCAGATTCAAAGCCAATCAACAGCTGTAATAAAAGAAAACGCCACGTTACCTAGGAATGATATTAATTATATGAAACAAGCATTTGCTGACAATAAAGATAACTATTATCATTCACATGCTTCGAGTATAAAATTATAACTAAACATCTGCATTGCTAATTACTAACCACATGGATGACACATGAGAACACTGCATTGCGTATTTATACGCCTTTGACGATCAGGGACTCAATGTATATCATACAACTGATTACTGAAAAAGAAAACAGTACCATTTTGAAGTGCTGAGTGTACATTTTCACTAATTGATATAATAAATTACTAATAAAAATTAACATTTGTATGTGCTTTAGAGTTTACAAACTTTCCTAATTCAACACATTATCAGGCAATCTCATTTACTCATCTATATATCGATTAGTTCCAAATTATATCGAGCCTAGATCCCTCTCGTGGGAGTCAGACTCCTAATTCCAGTGGTCACATCTCCTCCACAAAAACCCCAGAGGAGATGTGTCCAAAGTGAACTCATTACTTTCCTCCCTACCCTCCTTCTCTGGTATTCCCTGCTGCAGCGTCCCCCTCAGCATTCCTCACCTCAACACTCATGAAGGCGCTCAGGCAAAAACCGGGGGTCGTCCTTAACTCTGGTCTCTCCCCCGTTAGGGGGAATTATCAGGCAAGTTTAAGCTCACAGGCTAACGCGGCTCTCATTTACCCTCCTCCACCTCCAGCGCTTCTCTCCTGGTTCGAGACACAAAGATCTCTTTTCTGGTCTCCTGGCCTCCCTGATTCCATCCAGTCTTGTTCCTGTTTTAACCCATTCCATAGCGTAGCTAGAGTAACTGCTAAAATGCAAACCTGATCATGTAATGCATGCTTTTACAGAAAACTTTTTGATGCCTTACTATTATCTTCAGGATAAAGTCCAAACTGAGGAATACGACCTAGAAGATTCGTCATGGTCTGACCTCTGCTTACCTCTCCAGCTTCATCCTTCACCACATCCCTCCTACCCGATACACTCCGCATATCTTTCAGTTCATGCTCTCTCTTGCCTTTCAGCCTTTGCACATGCCGTCTCTTCCTACCTGAGCCACTCCATTTGAATGTCATCCTCTTTGCCTGACTAATCCTATTTACTAATCCTTCAGATGTCGTTTTAGCCATCACTTCCTCCGGGAAGCCTTCCTGGACCTACCAAACGTAAGTCAATGCCCTTCCTATGTGCTCCAACAGCACCTGTAGCTTCTTCTAATCTGAAGGGTCACTACACAATATAATAATGGCCTTTTCCTTACCTGAATTCTCTTGCAGACTACAACACCGTTCAATTTAGGCAAGGACTGGTGTCATCTTGTTCACCACTGTACCTCTAACATAAGATACAGGGCCTGATACGTTGTAGGTACTTGATACATTTTTTTGTGAATGAATGAGTTGCAGAATGGAATGCACGTTCTCGCTTCACAAACTGTCCACTGCCTATCCAACCTCTGCTGCCCACCATCCCCTGCCCCAGCATTTTCCAAATCTCAGTATCCCCTCTGCTTAAAACCTCCTCCCCCTTATTATATTATTCACTGAGCAATCTTCTATTCATTGTTAAGTCTCAATTTAGTGTTGCTTCCTTGGGCAAGCCCACCCAATTCCTCTAGACAGACAAAGATGCTCCTTCTCCTATGCTAGTACATGCATTTTCATGTATATGTCTCTAATATCTAATATAATGCCTAATACCCAGTAGACACTCAACAAGTATTTGTTTAATGAATCCACAAATGATTATTAGTTAGTCAATAACTGCTCATGTAATCTGAGGATATGAACAAATTTTGGGGCAGACTGGGTAATTTTAATGAAAAAGAATTTAGTGGATTTCAGACTACAGGGGCATTTAGAGGGGCCAGTCACTGAAGCTAACAAAATAGGTTTTCCCACCTTGGTAGAGAGCATAGTTCAACTTTCCTAACACAAACTCTTCTTTCCTGGGCAATCAGATACACACTCCTTCTGGGGAAAACTGGTATTTGTTTTCTTTACCTTTCCTAGTCGTTCTCAATACCTTGAACATGTGACATGGCATTTTCTGATGGGGAAGTAAGAGAGGAACTTCAGGAATAAGGAAAGAGATGGAAAAGGATAAAATTTAAGAAATGATGTACTGTGTAAACAGCACTGGATTGCTTGGAACATAGGTAACTTAAGCTCTGGTCTCAGATCTGCCACTTAGTAGTCATGTAACTTGAAGGGAATAATTTTTCCCATCCAGACCTTAGTAACGTAAGAAGGTTCAAGTTTTACCCCTCTTATCAGCTGTAACATCCTAAGACTGTTAGAAATCTGGCCCAACAGGTTAGACTCTAATTCCTATAATCTCCTAAATATTAAAAAATAGAAGAGCTAACTTAAAGATATGGTACTTAAACTTGGAAAATTCTTTCAATGTTTATTCCTACTAGAATCTCTTATAACTTATGGAGTTAATTTATGTACTGCTGACTTGTTTCCTTTTAATTTTTCTCTCATAAAAGCATTAGTGGGTACATTGAATATGAATATAGTTCTCTACAACATCAATAACCCATCTATATCTTCCAGAGGAAATGCAGCATAATGGAAAAGTACGCTGGGGTTAAAATCAGAGAAACCAGTATTTAAAATCCCAGATCCACCAACATCTAGCTTTGCACCTCTGGAACACATAATCACAGCAAGTCTCTGCCTCATCACCCGTAAATAGGGAAGAAATCCAACTTAAAATTTGTTGGGAGGATCAAATAAAATAGTGTATATAATATAGAGTGGAAAGCACAGTGCCTGACACAAAGTCGAATCCAGTAAGTGGTAGTTATTATTGTTACCACCGTAAGTAATTTTACACTAATGCCTAACCTTCCTTAGCCAAGACCTTTGCTTGAGGTGGTAGCATCCACCGTAAGCTTCGCTGTGGAGGAACGTGCCCTACCACCTTCTATCTTCCTTTAGTGACACAACGTTACAGAGATCTTTGGAAATAGGAAAGAGTCACTGATGTAGTTCAAGTGGATTTTTCTATTAGAAATCAAAGGCTAGACAATATAATCTATCCTAGCACCCTCATGTTTCAAAAATGTTTGAATGACATTAACTCCGGGAACTAAGGAGAATAATACAATATCAGATTTCAAACAATGAGGATCGGGGGCCAGCCCGGTGGTGTAGTCGTTAAGTTCGTGCCCTCTGCTTCAGGGGCCTGGGGTTTGCAGGTTTGGATCCTGGGCGTGGACCTACACACTGTTCATGAAGCCACGTTGTGGCAGCATCCCACATACATAATAGAGGAAGACTGGCACAAATGTTAGCTCAGCGACAATCTTCCTCATGCAAAAAGAGGGAGACTGGGCAACAGATGTTAGCTCAGGGTCAATCTTCCTCACCAAAAAAATAAAAATAAGAAAAATAAAAAATAAAAATGAGGATGACATAAACAGTTATATATAATTTATTTATTCCCTATATTAAGTATATACTGAAGAGTTACTATTTCTATTGTATGTTGGGTGCTGGGGGAAATATGAACCTGCATAAATTTCTAACACAAGGCAACAGGTGGTAAGTACTGTAAAACTTGTACAACTAGATGCCAATGAATTTGGAAGTGAGAGAAAGCATCTTCTGTGAGGATTACCATGAAAGATACTATGAAGATACGTATTTTATCTGAGCCTCAAAATGTGGGTAGGAATTCAGCAGACAGAGACTAGTGGGAAAGAATTCCAAGCAGAGGGACTGACGTGAACAGGCATGGAGGCAGCAAAGAGCAGCTCACGTTTGGGACACAATAGCTATCTGCTTCAGCACAGGGTTCGGGTAAAGACGTTCAGAAAGATAATGAAACCTAGGGCTATGTTGTAAGGAAACTTTATTTTATTTGTTAGAGATTGCAGAACCACTGAAAGCTTTTGAACAGGAGAGTGTAAGATTGAAATGGCACTCCAGGAAGACTGATCTGGAAATGATTCAAGAATGGGTTAGAATGCCTTGAACTGCAGAGGTCATAACAAGACTGAATAAAAACAGGCATTGCAAAAGGAAGGACTGAAATGCTTAGCGACCGATTCAAGGCAGAAGGAAGGGAAGTTTTCAATTCTCCCACCATGCCTCCCACTCACAGAACACGTATCATGTACCAAACAAAATAAAGCAGAGATACAGGTTACTGTAACTTGCTTCCTGTAAAGTTTCTCTCGAAACATACAGTTGTATGATTATCAGCTAACCCCACACAGGACAGCTATCCTTTTGTTTTCCCCATGGCAAACAAGAGAACGGTGTTACCCAGCACACAGGCTTGACCACTCCCACTGAGGAAAGGAAAAACCAGGGTAGACATCTTCACAAAATCCAGACGTTCCATTTCACTGCCTTCTGACAATGATAAACTTCCTGGTGTTTATGTAGACTAATATCATAAAATTATATAAGCAGAAAAATAGCATTAAATAAAACTACCCAAAAGATTGGTTTGAATGAGGAAATAGAGATTCATGGAAAAGGGAATTTTATCATTTTTAAATGTATTAATGAACTTAAATTAACAATAGCTAGATAGTGACTGTATGAAACTGATTTCAGAGTATTAAAAAATTAAGGAATATTTTAAAAATCTCTACATTATTAATCTGACCTATTTATGAAGAAAAATTTAGGGGAGACGAGATACAGAGACAACTCTAACATAAGGCATTATGTGGTAAGCGCTACAAAAATTGTATAATTAAAGTATTAAAAAGAATTCAAAACCAAAAGAAAACAGTTTTTGACAGGATTATCAGAAACTCAGGGGAAATACTGTAAATAAGGCAAAAATAAATTAATAACCTTTAATTGTACTTATTAAATTTTAACTGTTTTAGGGTTTTTTTGTTCTTTAAAATTGTAAACCATTTTAATTCTTTCATTTGTTCTACATGATGTATAATTAAGCCATTAAGTGTCTATGATACACAACCTTTGTTAGCAATCTCAACTCTGCAAGGTAAGTGTGGTTCTGGAATAGTTTGCATATTTTTAAAAAAATATCAATTCAAGTGTTTAAGTAATAAATAAACTTTTTGGAAAAAATTCTACCTTTCCTTCATCCATTGGATTATCACTTATATGGACGACAGGTCCTGGGTGAGATTTAGATGAGCTAAAAAAGAAAAAAAAGATTTTTTTTTCTCAATTCAAAATTCAATAAACTATGCATTCATTACAACAATAATAATAAATGGAAAATAAAAATATATTTATAAAGGATGAAAACATTTCAATAAGAGATCAATAACAGATGTATAAAGGAAAAGTCAACAAAATTTACAATTAAGTACACTTTCTGTATAGGAAAGAATCTCCAATTTACTATTTTAGCACAGAAAATCTATTCTCTTGGTAGACTTCTCAGAGTTAGTATCTTTAAATAAGCATCTAAAATATCACTATCGTATTTTAATCAAGTCTAGCCTCCAACACGGGCCTCTCATCCAGTTCCACAGTTCACACCAAAATAAGAAAAAATTCTATTATGTTTTAAAAAAAAATCAACAAAAGTAATCCCACCTATACCTGCTCAGAGAAAAAGAAAATACAGGTAAGAATGTAGCTGAACTGATCCCTATGCAGTAGCAATAGGCATCTCCCTATTCATAAACTCCAAGGGTTGAGAGATGAGTCCACTTCATGAGAAACCACAGACACCTGCATCAGGCCTATGCACTAGATGTTGTGATCAACTCAAAGAACAGACCACGAAAACCCACACCTGTACCAAGGGACTGAGATGTGATAATAACATCCCTGCCACAGGAAGGAAAATGAGACTCAAATGCAATATTACAGGTGCACCAACACATTACTTAAGAGAGATGCCACAAATTCATCCTTATGTCAAATTCTGTGGAATGCAACAATACAGAACTATCTGTTAAAACAAAGACAAAAACACTGAAAGTGTATCTTGCCAGTATCCTTAAATTTTGATTTTTATGTCTACATAATAAAAGAAAAAATTTCAAGAGAGAAATAAGATACAAAGATAAGACTCTAAGACAGAGTGAAAAGTTAGCTCTAAAGATCCTTAGGGCCCTAGAGCTCAACCCAGGGCCCTAAGTTGTTGTTGTTAAATAAAAACAATCAAATTATATCAAAATTAAGAAAAATTAAGAAAAACTGTCTAATTCTGCAACGTTACATTGCAAACACTTACATTATATTTGTTGATTATTAAAACATATCAAGTAGAGGTTTAGATCAAGGTTTTCCAAACATTGGTGGCAACCTGCTAGTGGGTCATGAAATCAATTTAGTGGGACGGGACCAGTATTTGAAAGAAAAATAATTAGAAGATAAAAGAACAGAAAAAACTGGAGTGTTTTTGACCTAATAATAATAGTTTCATTAAACTTTTACAAACTGCAAATAGGAAAATACTTACAAAAGGGTAATAAGTCTATATTTAATATCAATAATATCTGACATTTAATTCCATATGGATTTACTGATTAGCTATTATATAATGATGTTATCATATACGGTCCTGATACTTTCAGATACGGACTATTTGCTCAAACTCACAGTTCGATGGCTTTATTCCACATAATGACGTAGCCTGAGAGTGTGAAGGACTCCACATTGACGATATGTATATTACCTCGCTCAGTGCCCACATAGAGCCACTTACTCTGGAAAGGCAGATGGCAAAATGTAACCCTGCAAGAGAAAATACATCCAAAAAGGAAATCAGCAAAATGTCTGGTAAATTAACTGTTTTAGAGGGTGAACCACTATATATATATAATTTAGAATGATATACAACCATCAGCTTTATCTACTCATTGTGGGTAATATTTAATTATACCAATTCAACTTATATGTCAAACACAAGGCCTTACAGTAAACAGACAGCATGGCTTGATAGAAAGAAGATGAGTTTTGAAGTTAGCATGGGTTTCAAATCTGGCTATGTCACCCACTAATTGTGTTACTTTGGGATATCACAAATTTAACCTTTAAGCAACAAACTATGAGTCAAATACCCACACATCAGCCCTAGGTACTACTGTATTTCTCAGGAGTTATTACACACACTAATCCGTCTTGGTACCTAGGCTTACTATTCCTTCCAGGCAAAATGCTCCTCCTGCTCATATTTTTTTTATTCAAGATTCAGTTCAAATATCACCTTCATTCAAACTGACATCCCAATACTTTTGTATCTCTATCAGGCCTGCCTCGTAAGACAGTTACGGTCCACCCTCCTCACTACCTTGTAGGGCCGAGATCCTCCATATACTGAGGCTTACACAATGTTACTGAAACACACTTGAACTATCTCCTTCTATGTCCTGATGATATGAGAGGCCTTTATTAACAAATTATAATAATTTACATGTAAGTATTAAACTTTATTATCATTTCAACAATTTCAAACATTTTCTGTATCAGCTCATTTGATTTCAAGGTAAACAATGGAAACTATCAATCTTTTCATAGCTCTTATTTTTAGTAAAAAAAAAAAAAAAGTAGTGTGCTAAGCAACCATAAAATGCTCTTTTTTTCAGATTACCTATTGTGTCTCTCAAAATATACTACTTAAATTTTCAGTGGAATAGCACTTTGAATAATACACAATGACAATAATCACTTCTAGACTGTCTATACTGACACTAGGCATTAGGCAGGACATAGCATACAGAACATCTGCTAATCCCACTAACACAATTTCATTACAGAGAATTTTTCAAGATGAAAATACTTATCAAATAATGTACATGCAAGAAGAATAACTCATTCTTATTCTTTCTTTCACTCATTACTCACTCAGTAAGTACTCACTCAGTGAGTACTCATTACTCATTCCTAGAGTAATAGGAAACATTACTCTATTTCCTAGAGGCAACGTTCATTTAGACAATTATTTAGGGTTCATCATCTGTATTTTTTGTTGAGTGTTTTATATAACATGACTTTTTAAAGGATTTATGTAAATTTAACAAAGGACAGAAAGGTCTAAATGATGACAGAAATGTCAAAAACACATTTCATAGTACCTTATTACTTCACAAGGCAGTAAGTCCACAGCACCTTTCTAAAAACTTTAGGGCCGCACAGGCTTCAGAATTCAGAATTTTCCAGATTTTAGAAAGATATGTTACGCATATTTTGTATACCTAACATGGGGGTAGTATCTAGTACACACTGAATATTTTTTGAGGTATAATTTTTGGCAGTTTTTTTAACTGAGATATAATTGTCATATAACACTATATTAGTTTCAGGTGTATAACATAATGATTCGACATACGTATACATTGTGAAATGATCACCACAATAATTCTAGTTAATATCCATCACCACGTGCATAGTTACAAATTTTTTTTTCTTGTGATGAGAATTTTTAAGGTCTACTCTCTTAGCAACTTTCAAATATATAACACAGTATTATTCACTACAGTCACTAGCAGTTTCTTAAAAAGTTAAACATACACCCACCATATGATTGACTCATTCTATTCCCAGGTATTTACCCAAGAGAAAGGAAAGCATATGTCTATATAAGACTTGTACACAAATGTTCACATCAGCTTTGGTAACAGCCTAAAACTGGAAACAATCCAAACGTCCCTCAACTGGTAAACGGACAGACATTATAACACAATACTATTCAGTAGTAAAAAGGAATAAACTATTGAAACATGCAACAACATTGATGAATCTCAAAATCTTTATGATGAGCGAAAGAAGCCAGACCAAAAAAAGACACATTGTATGATTCCAGTTTTATATAATTTATATGCAATAGAAAATGCAGACCAGTCTGTTGTAACAGAAAGCAGAGCAATGGCTGCCTGAAGATTGTGGGGGTGGCGGCTAGTAACAGAAGAGGGGAGGGATCACCACAAGGAAACATTTTTGGGGTGATGGGTAGATTTGTTATCTCGATTGTGATGACAGTTTCCTGGGTGCATATATGTGTCAAAACTTAGATTGTACACTTTAAATATGTGCAGCTTCCTGTATGCCAATTATACCTAAATAAAGCTGTTTTAAAACTCTTTGTTTTCAGAGATTTGCAGATCAGGAATTAAGGAGACAGATTGTGTCTGATTAATACACAGGCACTAGCCCTGGAGTTAGACTGCCTGGATTTAATTGCCAGCTCTGTCACTCACTAGCAAGTGACCTTAGTTCAACCATCCAGTGTCTCAGAGCCTCAGTTTCTAAGCAATAAAGCCCATCGACCTCCCAGCGATCACCTGAGGATCAAAGAAGACAAGGCACGGTGGATGCTTAAGATGGGGACTGACACAGTAATTGTTCCATCAAGGATAGCTCATTATTTTTAACATTAGGTGATATTCTGCCAGTTAGAAGTTACAGACAAATTTTAACGACACGAAGTAAAGACACGCAGCGATAGCGTGCCAGATAAAGAGCGAACAACGCCATAAACATCATAAAAACAGCTATTTCATCTGACACGTGCCTTAAACTAAAACACAAACATAGCTAAACCTTTTGAAAATTCAAAATTAATTTCAAAATAAATAAGCCAAAATAATGACAGGTTGACCAAAAAAAAAAAAAAAAATCAGAAACGTCCAGCTTCCTGGTCTGTTCCGCTATTTTGCAATTCTCCACTATTTTTCACTCTACAGAAGTAGCAGCTGACGTGCTTAATACAACTCCATGACCCATCTTTGATTTTAATACCAACAAAATCATTTAAATACACTTACAAAATTTAAACTTAACTCCTTAAGGGCAGAGATTTTGGATATATTATACAATATTTTCTGTTTCCAGAACAGCAACAGCATACTGTAGTTATTCCTCAAATAATTTTAAGAAATGAAGAATAAATTCACTGTTGAGAAAAAAAATCTAGAACTTTTCCTAGACTCACTTTTTCAATATTAGCTACCACCATAAGATTTATTTTCTCAACTATAAAACCAACGTACGGTAATGGGAAATTTTAAGCATCTTTATGTTTTTCAGAAGTGAAAACTATTTAATATTAAACATTTTTAGAAGGAACTTAAAATGTTCACTTAATTATCTGGCACCATGACTTTAATATGGTCCCTAGAATGAGTCTTGTACACTTTTTTAAAAAGTACAAGTCATAGCACTGTATTTGTACAACACATCATTAAATTTAAAAATTACTCTGTTCCATAACTACTCTCATTATTTAAGTCAATCGAGAAGGGGGAAAGTCAAATGGTTTTTATCACAATTAACTTGAGAACTTTTTAACTAGCAAATTTTAATGGCTCTGAATATGTGGGAAAAGGAAAAGGAATAGTGAGAAAACTAAAATCCCATGTTGCAACCAAATAAAACAATGCCATGCCAGGGATTTAGGGAAAAGCCAACAAGAAAACGTGGTTCCCTTGGGGCCGGCCCTGTGGCTTGGTGGTTAAGTGCGCGCGCTGCGATGCTGGTGGCCCGGGTTCGGATCCCGGGTGCGCATCGAGACACCACTTCTCCGTTCATCCTGAGGCCGAGTCCCACATACAGCAACTAGAGGGATGTGCAGCTACGACATGCAACTATCCACTGGGGCTTTGGGGGGAAAAATAAAATAAAAAAAATCTTTAAAAAAAAAAAAAAAAAAAAAAAAAAAGAAAACGTGGTTCCCCAAAACACACTACTATAAAAGCAACTCAATCAACACGCCCTACCAAGCACTGCCAAGATTCTAGGTTGTGGGCAATTTAACCAGTCCGCTACCAAAATGTAAAACTGGTGGTCAAGACAAACTGGACTTGAGTCACTATATTCAATAGTGTTCTTTCAATCTGTCAGATAAACATGATCTTATTTCCTTGTTTACTAAATAAGAATCTTAGCCTTCTTTGTTGAAAGTTTAAAGAATAAAATAAAGAATATGCAAGATTTTATGTAATAATTAAATTGATGAAAAAATTATATTGATTACTTAAAAGGAGTCATGTATATTGGAGCACTTAAAACTATATATATTTATTATGTATGTGTTTTTATGTATATATGTGGGCATATACATGTAGAGAGAGAAGAAGAGAGATCTGTTGTTATTTAACGACTCTAAGAAAGTGATCCACGATAGAAATCTATTTTTCAATAAAAGTAACCATGGAACAAATGGCACTGAACAACCTTGGGGTAAACAGATTTCAAACTTAAAGGGTTCAGATGAACAGATGCAAAAAATACTGAAAATAAATAGAAAGTTTCAACAATGAACTAAATATCACATGGCAAAATTATGATAGTAATGGCCCCCAACAGATTAATCTCCCTCTCTGTATCCTCCCCCATGTATCGTCTCCCCCTACATGGACTCTAGGATTGATCATGTGACTTGCATCGCCATAAGCAGCGTTGAAAAGCATCTGCACATTGGGGCTTGCCCTCTTTCTTACACTTTTGGAACCCAGGTGCCATGTGATCAAGCCCAGACTAAACTGTTGGAGACACTGGCCCAGCCCATAGCCAGCCCCAACCACCAGACACACGAGTAAGGAAAGCGAGATCATCCAACTCCATTAAGCAGCCTGGTGAGAGAGCTTGCCTAAGGGACTACAGGGGAAGACCACTCCTGCTGAGCCCAGCCCAAGGTGCTGACTCACAGAACTGTGAGCAAACAAAACGGTTTGTATGTTAGCCTCTTAAGTTTTGGGATGTTTTCAGATGCAGCAATAGATAATTGATCTTTTACA